CGGAACGGTTTCTTGTGAACCACTAGCAACACAACATACGAAGGCGAAGCCAGGCCCAACAAATCGCAGTGCATTCAGTATCAGTACGAAAACATGAGGACACGTCTAGGAAGACCAAGGAAGTTCTGGTACAACGGGGAATCATATGATCGGAAGGAATGAATGCACTACACGCCTAACTTAGTCTCAAGAACAGGTCCGGCTCGAAATATGCACAGGGTTCGAACAGCTCAAATGTACTGTGGAATAAGCCGAATTTCCATAGACTAACGTAAATAAAGACTAACAATGGCGCTCAGAGGAAGAATAGTTTTACGAAACGGGAGAAATTCAATTTAACGAGTCACAACATGAGTAAACAGTGACCTCTTGACGTGGATTCCGTAAACGAAAGACAAGTGGCGTTATATTCTCGCCAACTGCGAGCTGATCACACCGCTAACCAGCCACCTGCGGCCGTTCAAAATATCAACCAGGAGGTCACGAGTTCGACATTCCTTGAGTTTCGTTAGGTGCGCACTTTCGATGACTCCCAATAAGGATCAAACAGCTGTGCAGTGCTTACAGTCTTTTCAGCCTAGATCATCTTCACTCACAGGACAATATCTCATTTGAGAACTACGCACAGATGTCGTTTCTCTTACCTTTCCCACTGAATGTACGACCCGAACGTGGACAGCCAAAGCAGCACACGTCAGCTGCTGACCATCCATTTCAGCACGGTCTACAACCACGCCAAATGCAGCGTGGCGCCAAGCAGGACCTTGTGCATAGAGAAGGAAATGAACTCCACCCAAAGCCAAACCAGGACGAACAACCCACCCACGACTGCGATAATACAGGTAGGCCGCGTAACGCCGAAGAAGGTCGCACTCCAAATGACTAAACTGAGGAATTTCTGTTCGTGGTTGTGTCGGATGTACCGGAGGAGATGGCAAGCGGGAACCGGAGCACAAATAGTACCACAAGCGGAGCTGAAAAATGGAGGGCAAAATACTCAGGAATTGGCGAAGGAAATACCAAGGTAGATCTGAATACACCCGAATAGTCTCATCCCTCAAAGTCAGCTTGAGACTCTCATTAGCTAGTGAGCATCG